CCCAGGAACAACCCTCTCTTTTGCCTCAGCAAGACCAATGTCTCTGGAATCAGCCTATGCAAATAAAACTTCACTATAAATTCTACTGGCACACGAGCCAAAGGATAAGCCAGTTCCTTGGCCCTCCAAATATGATGTTTCTACAATCACAGATTAAAAAAAGGAATAAAGTTATGTATATAAAATGACTTTATAAATAAAGTCATTTATGACAGTGAATGCAATTTGAGGCAAAAGTAATGATACATCCAGAATAAAATTCAGCTTGTTTTGTTTCAATTTCTTTATAGCAGAGCCAATTGGAAAAACTAATCTGAAGCCCCACATTTGAAGTCATTTGAAGTAAACGGATTCCAAAGCTAAAAAATCAGTAATACTTACCTTTGCATAGGTATGTAATATTTTCCCACTTCTGGTCCATTGTGCACTCTGAAAAATTCCTGTCTCCATGGAAGTAATATCCTTCTTCACATCGATAGTACACTCTGCTCCGCAGTGTGGTAGAGTTGTCCCAGACCATTTCTGTGTGTGGAATCAACAAGGGTTTGCCACAGTCTATTTCTGGAAGAGAGAAAAAGACAGAGAATAATAAATCTAAAAATGGAAATAATCAGGGCATGTCACAACGGAGGGATTGTGGACTCCAGTTCATACACTTCCATGCACAGAAATATCTGAAAAGTCATACATGGTCCAAGAAGTGACAAGAAAGAACAGCATCAGGAAGGTTGTATTTTATTGCCCCATTGTAGGTTTATTGTAGGTTTAATTCAAACTTTGGATAAAGGAGGAGCTGCTTCAGGCAAGAATAAAGAACATTTCCATGTAGAGGGAGGGATTGACTTGACTGGTTATTCACATCTTGGCAGAAATAATTAGAAAACTGGAGTAATGTAATTTGAAATTTATTCATTTACTGTGTTGTTTGCAAGAGCTGCACAATAAAAGTAGGGAATTCAAAGAATTAAGAGAGAAGATCAGTCAACTGAAGGATATTTTGGTTTAAAATTCCATCTCAAATTGACAGTGAATCTTAGTCTTGAGTTAAGCATTGCTTCACTTACAGGAAGTAAAAAAATGTAAGAGTTCAATCTTACCTTCATTAAAGCTTATATGCAGAAAACATATTTTAAAATTCTTGTGTTTTTGTGTTAAAGTGTTTTTAAGTGTCTTTTTTCTTTAATTTGATCAATGAGTGGTCTTAAATGATTCTGAGATTCCATTCATAAGAAATATAAAAAAGTAAAAAATAAAGCATGTAGAATCATATTTTGATAATTTACAGTAATACCTTCAAAGGAACAGCTAATCATATACTTTGCGAAGGAAAACACATCTATTATTATGATTACCTTTCTTTCAAACATCAATATGCATGCTTTTATTTAGAATGACGAATTTACATGCAAATAAAACATTTAACTTACAGAAACAGTATGTGCTGGCATACAAAAATTACTGCTCCTCAACTCAAGCTATCTTTCCACAGACATTTGGTATACCAAAGACTGAAAGACAGAAATGCTGAATTATGTTCCTGTGTAAGTAAGCAATACTTTAAGAGCAGAGGTTGTTTGAAACATAGATGAAGTGTATTCAAAAAATTACTAAATTTGATACCAGTGAACACAAGGCTTGACCTTATTGAATCTACTTGATGAGATACTTATCCTCTATTGAATAGAAAAGTGAAGTTGTATTTAGCAGCTGTCTGAAAATGGGAAGTTCAAGGGGAAATTACCTAGTAACAGCAGCTCAGATTCTAAGTAGTGACTTCAGCCACAGAGTAGGTATTGGGCTAGAAGACAGTGGTTTAGACTGGATTTCCATCTCATGAAAATCCCAAAGTCTGACAGGCAAAAAATGGTCAAGATGGTCTTTCATCTTCACAGTATATAACACTTAAGAATCTGCTGTAACTTAATTAACAACACAGCTAAAAAGATGTTTAATATTTGGCTTTTTGTCTTCCAGTGCTAGAAGACTGTATAAACTGAATGCCTAAAGGCAGTGCCTCCAGCTTATAACTGCATGACTGCTATTCATACTGATGCCTGAATCAATACCCATGCCAAGCAAATCTGAAGGCAGATTTGATTTACCTCTGCACACCAAATCGGCACCATCCCATTGGCCTTTGGCATTGCAAACTGCAGTCTGATTGCCACTTGTAATAAAGTAACCATGAGCACAACGGTACGTAACTGCACTTCCATATGTGGTTTCATTTAAAGATGGTGAATACGTATTTATGATAGAAGGTGGAACTCCACAATCCACACCTACATAGGGAAGAAAGAGGAAAATACATTGTTATTCAAGCAACGAAAGGAAGGAAGGCTGCTCTCCCGTGAAACTATTCTTTTCATCATTTCAATATCATCTCCTACAGTAACTGAATTCTCTTGCATATCTTCTCCCACTGGGAGATTGACAGTGTGCCCTGGATAGTCCTTAACTATGGTCAGATCCTTTTCAGGTTAAATCAGAATTTTCCAAATAATTTAGTAGTAAGAAAAAGCAATCTGTTTAATAGGATATACATTTCTTAGTGTAAGCATACACTTACCCTAAGCATGTGAAGTATTCCACAACAGCATGATAAAACAAACAAAAATTCAAGTTTAACTACAACTCTCCAGATGCATCTCCTCTTCCTAGAGAACTGTGTGATTTGACACAAGACAATTCTGCTCATTAATATTCAAGAAAAGCTGTACTCTTTGAGGGAACATTATACTTATATTCAGATATTTAAATCAGGAAAAAGATGAATCTGTTCCGCCTTACAGCACCTTGATGTTAGATGAAACATTGTACCAAACTTGACATTTGTTCTGTCAGTTTCATCATAAATAAAACTGTAAGTAAAATAAATTTAGAAATAAATTTAGAAATTACAAGGAAATAGCACAAATTCTAATTGGAAGCTTTCTTGATTTTCCTGAACAAGAAGGAATTACAGTTGACCAGGAGAAATTCTTAGGTTAGCTAAAATAATTGTCAGGGAAATTGTGAGAGTTCAATTTTTTTAAAATCTCCTTTTCTAATGTAAAGAAGATATGGCCTCTTCACAAAAAGAGAAGTTTTTATTGAAATCCAGGAAAAGCAAATTGCAATAAAAGAGGAAATAGTGAGAACATCCTGAGATGTTTGGTGGGGTTATTTTATTCCAATAATGACATGCGCATAACTTCACTAAAAATATTACCTTAACAAATGTACTGACAATTCACAAGGGGTGCCTTCCACAAGCTTTCTTTAGTGGACCTCTTGAGACTTTAGGCACCCTTTTTGTTGTTGTTTTGAAATTCATTTTGCTTTATTTATTTTGAAAAGTATTATTGCAACTGCCTTATTTTCCATGCCACTGTATTTAATTACTCATAAAAAACAGCTGCCAGTAATTTCACCCTAAATTGTCTGGTTCTTTCCCTCCTAAGAAATTTCTGATTTTCTGTTGATGTTTAATACTTTATCTTTTCCCGTTGCACTGATTTAGCATCCTTATTCTAACGTTCACACACAGACAAGGTTATTCATTGTCAAATAATAATAATAATAAAGGGATATTCCATGTTTTGCGAGAAGGATTCTCTTCATTAACACATTATTTTAAGGAGGACAATCTTTCTCTTCTCTGTAGTGTTATTATACATATTGTACACTATGTTAACTAGCATTTTTTGTCATTTAACTAATATATACACTCTCCAACTATTTTCAGGAACACAAAATACTACAGAATGGGTGATGACAATACAAAAGTGAAAGATACTTATGAAACACATTCAGAAATTTTCTGAAAGCATTTCACTATGTGCAGGTACTCTTAAATCATGAAGGCTATCTAGCAGTGATGCCTCTTTTGCAACTGCAGTCAACCTTAGGAAAAAACTTCACATGCTCCAGAGGAGGCTGGGTTTCTTTTTCCCTATAAAGTCAAGTATTCCAGTGCTTCCCATGAACTACTCCAGAAATCTTAATGTTTGCTAAGCCTCAGCTCACAAAGTCAAGAACACATTGCTCTGTCTGTAGAAACAAATTGAGCAGCATCCAAAATGACATTCTAGGAGCAGACGGTGGCATAATTTTGTTATATATTTACTAGAAAATCAATCTGTTCCTGCTAAAGGTAAAAAAATACTGACAGAAAACAGAAACTCATTGCTCACATAATGAAGGGCATGTTATTGCCAAACAGCTTCAAAGCCAGAATATCTGCAAGACATTGTATTCTTTCTTTTTATTTGGTAATAGCCAGCACTTGTAGAAACAATCTTTGAATTGAGCAACTGACCTACTCTCTCTGACAAACATACTCCAAAGAATCACATAACAGTTAAGGTTGGAAGAGGCATTTAAAGATCACTTAGTTCAAACCCCCTGGTTAAGCAGGGTCTCCTGGAGCAGGTTGTCCAGGACATTGTCCAGTGGCTTTTGAATATATTCAAAGGTGAGGACTCCAAAACCTCTCTGGGAAACTGAGCACTGGAGAGTTCCAGTGCTCAGTTGTCTCCACTGTAAAAAAGTTTTTCCTTAGGTTCTGACAGAACTTCCTGTGTTTCCATTTGTGCCCACTGCCTGTCCTCCTATCACCACTGAAGATTCTATCTCCAAGCTCTTTACACCTGCCCTTCAGATAACTATGCACATTGATAAGATTCCCCATCCAGTCTTCTCTTCTCCAGACTAAACAGTTCCACCTCTCTCAGTCTTTCTTCACAGGGAGATGCTCCAGTCTCTCATCACCTTAGCAGCTCTTCCCTGGACTTGCTCCAGTAGCTCCCTGTCTCTTGTCCTGGGGAGCCCTGGACACGGTCTTATTAGGGCTGACTAGGTGGGAAGGATGGTCTCTCTCACCCTCCTGGCGATGCTCTACATAACGCAACCTAGGTCTACTGGCCTCATGGTCAACTTGGTGTCCACCAGAACCCCCCGGCCCCTCTCTGCAGAGATCATCTCCAGCCTGTCCTGGTGCAGGGAGTTATTCTCCCCACATGCAGGACCCCACACATGCCCTTGTTGAGCTTCATCCATGAGGTTCCTCTATGCCCTTCTGTCCAGCCTGTCCAGGTCCCTCCGTAGGGCAGCACAGCCCTCAGGTGCATCAGCTACTCCTGCAAGTTCTGCACCATCTGCAAACCTGCTGAGGGTGACTCTGTGCCTTCATCTAAGCCATTGATAAGCGAGCAGAACACAGCCTTGAGCCCTGGGGCCACTAGCTACAGCTCTCCAAATAGGCTTTGTGCCAGTGGTCACAACCCTCTGAGCTTTGCTGTTCAGCCACTTTTCTGTCTGCGCTTCCTGAGCTCATTTAGCCTGCACTTCCTGAGCTCATCTATGAAAATGCTATGGGAGAGGGTGTCAAAGTCCTACTAAAGTTAAGGGAGACGCTCTCCTGTGAAATGAGGTGAGAAAGGCTCTCCCTTCACCTAATCAACTAGTCACCACATAAAAGAAGGCTCTCAGGTTGGTTAAGCAGCATTTCCCCTTGGTGAATCTACACTGAGTACTCCTGACCAGCTGCTTCTCCTTCATGTGCTTGCAAATGATGCCCAGGCTGAGCTGCTCTATCACCTTTGCAGGCACCAACGTGAGTCTGACTGTAGTTCCCTGGGTCTCCTCCCTGCCCTCTTGGAAGACTGGGGGACACTGGCTTTCTTCCAGTGGTCACACTCCTCTCCTGATCACCATGACCTTTCAGAGATGACTGGGAGTGCCCTGCACTGACACTGGCCACCTGCCTCCATGGGTGTACCCTATACGGGCCCATGGATTTCTCTGTGTGCAGTTTCCTTATGTGATCCACAACCCAACCCAACTCCACCAGGCATTTTTCCCATGCATAAACCCCTTCATGAAGAATTTAAGATTTTAACGCACAGAAACTCCTTTCACCTTTACAGCTTAAAGTGGCAGGTTCCCAAGTTTCATTTGCAGTGCAAATAGAAAAATCCCCCTCTTCGCTGTAAAACCCTTCTTTACACTGGTAACGAACCGCACTTCCTGGTACCAATCCGTAGTTCCCTACAATGTAACCATGCTTCATCTCAGGAGGGGAGCCACAACTGATTTCTGCAAAGAGAAAAGTTTGAGTTGAAAGGGGAGATTTCACAGTACAAAGAAACAGGACAACGACCGCTTTAAGAAGAGCTGGGCCAGACAGTCACATCATAAAAACTGTCTACCTGCAGGAATCTGAAGGAAGCCAAACAACTGCCTTGGCCACAGTCTGCTGAACACAGCGATCCAATGATGAGTGTACATCTTTACCATCTTATTAACATTCATCTGTTGCAATTCACAACACCAAAAACAAGACACTTGAAACGTGTTGGTGCCCTGGACGTCCTGGTTCTGTTACACCAAAGTCTGAATTTTCCTTCAATGCTGGAAGAAAATTTCAAGCCCTAATGCCCAGCTGTACTTCCCAGCATGCAGGAAAGGTGGAGCACTGCAGCTAAACTGAAATCAGTCTGCCCCCCATTCCCACAGCTCACTGAACCATCCTAGTGCTACATTCCCGGCCACAGAGCCACATGATAGGGTCACTTGTCAGTCTCCACAGCTGGCACAGTCAATATAGATACGTTTCTTTACCCCACTGGGGGAGAAGAACGGGCAGCCAGATAGGCAGGGTACCAACAATCCTGCCAAAATTGGAGCTGAGCACTTGTAGCTGGAAATAAACAGGAGGCTGGAAAAAAACGGAGGCAGTGAGCTGACAACTTGGCCTGCTACACATAACGATGTCACTCCCACGGTTTACTGGGCTTCCCCGACTCCGCACACTCCAACCACTCCTGCAACCCTGTAGCAACCACATCCTGTGTCGCCTCTGCCAACCAGACATCATTGCAACACACTGAAGAAAAGCCAAGTCCACACAGGCCTTACAGACTTAGGTCAGAGCAAGCACCATTCCATCATGATAGATCTGATTTTATTAGCCAACACAAACAGCATCAAAAGGCTCTCACCTTTGCATGAAACCATATTCTCATCTGGATGAAAAAAATCTTCTCCATTTTCTAGTTTATAACCATCAATACAGTAACACTTGTAGCTTCCTTCCGTATTCACACATCTTGCATTGGGACCACACATCCCAGATTCTTCACATTCATCTATATCTAGAAATTCAGAGAGCAAAATGTATAAATGTCTTTACTTTTTCTTTTATTATTATTATTAATTAATGTAGGACTCAAGCTTAAAATGCACAGAAACATTATGTGTAGATCCTGATGGGAAATAAAGGAAGCCCAACATTCAAACATCTTGAAGGATGAGATCCTTACAATTTTGTAAATTTTGTAAATTTGTAAGATGTTTTAAAATCGGTTTCCCTTGCACCTGACAAATAGTTTCCAATTTATTTCCTGCCCCTACAGCCATTCCAGAAAAGAATCCCACTTCTGCAAATATTGTAATCAGTCACAGTTAATTACTGTGACAGGGAACTAACATCCACACTGAACACAAATATGATGCTCAAGCAGAAAGAAGTATGATCTTATTCCCTTAGATCTAGCCACTTCTACTGCAAAGATATTGCTCAAATGTAACTTCATAGAAATAATTAATAATAAAAGAGGAAAGAATCAAAAAATGGAACTAATTTATAGTTGTTAGAATCCAGATGCCAAACAAATGTTGGCAAAATACGGCAGAAAATTCTACAGTAACCAGAAAAATAAAGGTGTAGTAGAAAATGAATTTCTGGATTCCTGGTTGCCAAGATTTCTTGTGGTATCTACCTGTACAGTTCGTTCCATCGTTGGGAATAAAAGTCTTGTTGTTGTTAGAGGCACGATATCCATCAAGGCAAACACAGTAAAAACTTCCATGTGTGTTATGACACAGGGTATGGTTCCCGCACATCTTGGCAGCTCCAATCTGGCACTCGTCTTTGTCTGTCAGCACAGTTAAAACAGGTTAGAGAGACCAAAAGAAGTCAAATACCCTCCTCTCCTCACTCATACCCAAGTAACTAGAAATGGGATAAAATACTTAACCAGCTAAGTACTGGAATTAAATACAAGTGAAGAACAGCCCATGCCATTAAAAGAAATGTAAACCGAGCCATATATATTGTATGTTTTGGAAATATTGTCAGGAAATAACAGAGCTCTTACTGTTTTGAGTAACTCAGTGGTATTACCCAAGAGAAGACAGTTTAGGACAGCACAGTTTCTAGCCACTGTACAAACAGGCACCCTACCTTGGCAATGCGTTCTTCCATTCCCCACAAATCCATAGTTACAAATACAGACACTTTTTCCTTCAATTTGTTGGCAAGTGGCATCAGCGTGGCAAGTAGCACACACATCTGGAACTGATCTCTTCATGTCTGTTTTAACACAGGGACAGAATTATTTAAAGAACTAAAATAGTGATCTGATGTAAGGAATTAGCACAGAGTTTAGAGTAGACGTAAAAAAAAAAACAGATTGAAAGCAAAAGAATAAAGTCATACTTCATCCCACCTCATTTTCAAACTGGAAGGAAAACCACAGCCCTACTCAGTAACTAGGCTTGGAAAACAAACAGAAAGAAGAAAAGACTAAGCAAAATAACTACACTGGACATCTTTCTCCTACTATCTGATAACAATTAAACCAGCTTTTCAGGACAGTAGTTGGCAAGGCATACATGACAATATAATAGCTCTACCCAAAATTAATAATCTTTTCTACAAACTCATTTTCTTTCCCTTGGTCAATCTATTTGTTTCTTAAATGCTCAATGTTACCATTTAGTATAAATGCTATTCACAAAAATGATGTTGAGAATGCTGCCAGATCGCAAATGGCTTGTGATAAAGTCACTTTAAAAATGAATTTATATTAGAAGTAGTAGAGCAGCATAAGACACAGAATCTAATTTATTATAAGGTGATAGGATGACAAATGGATATGAAATGAGAATTAAATATGAACTTATTTCCTTATTTGCAATCATACTTTTGGTGTATTTTGCAAATTTCTATCTCCTTTTTTGTAAGGTCTTTTCTTTATCTTCATAAATGCAATAGCCTTCCAAATGGTAGACCTCAGGATGAAGAGCCTGAATATAGACAATGCACATGTCCATATGCTTATACCCTTTATACATTAAAAAGAAAACTATTTAATCTTGCATATGAGATGGTTATGTCTCATAATCATCTGAGATGATTATTAACCCTGATTATGTCTCAAAGTGCTAGACCTAGCAAGAACAGAATTTTTTATTTTTCCAAGAGACATAAGATGGGTAAGGATGGTGCAGTTCCTATTAAATATAAATCTTACAGTATACGTAACAGTTCTTACGAAGGTTTCTTCATATGCCTGCATGCTGTTTTGAAATACATGAATATGACCTGAAGGAAAGGGCAGTTGAAGGTTCCAGGTAACTTTTTTAAGCTCACAAATTCACCAGATTGCCAAAAAGAAAGTGCATGTAACTAGCAATTCCAGGTGCACAGTGTTTGTTTTTCCTCCCAGTGCAATTCTCAGTTTATTTAAAAGACACTGGAAGCATCATAGATTCCTACCAATTCTCTACTAATTTACAAACTTTTGTTTGTGTGTGTGTGTGCTCCCCAAAAATCTATTAGCATAAATGGTAACCAGCATGGCTGGAAAATGAAATTAAGAACAGTGGTGGTAGGAGAGAGCTCCCGAAGCTTCAATCTTCTGATAAGACGTGGGTGCGCCTGCCCCAGATTGCCGCAGCAGGAGATAAACCGTGCATGGCCCCTACTACGGCAGATGATGTTTTCTGACTTGCTCCCTCACGCCCCATCCTTCCCAGCTGCACAAAAGTCAGCTCAACGATTGCAGCCCTATCTGCCGGATCTGGCGACTGCTGTGAGAAGAGATACCCAATTCCCACGGAGGACGAGAAAGTGGCATGGGTCACCACCACCACCACCAGCACCACAGCTGGGCAACCAACACCACCACGGCTGAGCCACCCCCATCACCACGAT